AACACATCTTATTCCCCCTGCCTTCACTCCACTGCCCTGCCCTCAGCCTGGTCCAGGCCACCACCTCCTCAGTGGCTTCCTGCCTCCTGTTGCCCCTCCATCTCTCACCACGTGGCACCAGAGGTCTTTAAACCCTGAATAGTGATGCCAGCCTCTCCTTGAACCTTCATCGCTTCTCAGCCTATCAGACCATGGGTCAGCAAACTCTCTCTGTAAAGAGCCAGATATAAAGGTTCTCAGCATTGTAGGTAGGTATTTGTCCACCGCTGTTCAAACCTACCAGCGGCTCTGTGGGAGAAAGACCTGGTGGTCTGTTCCCATAGAGATTTCAGCATAGAATACCCTATGGAGTAGTTCTGCTCTGTCACATGGGGTTGCTGTGACTCGGAATCAACTCACCAACACCCAACAACAGCAACTTGTCTGACAAGAGAGAAAACATATTTCCGCACATTTTTTAATTGACAAAATTAAAAACTTTATTGATGGACACTGAAAAATGAATCTAATGTAACATGATTCTTCTTTCGATTTTTCTCCATTTAAAAATTCAGAAATCATTCTTAGCTTTAGACTGTACAAAAACAGGTGTCAGGCCAGATATGGTCAGCAGACTGGAGTTTGCTGACCACAGATTTGGAACAAATCCAGACCCCTTATCACACCTTCCAGGCCCTTTTTCAAGGTACTACCTAAAGCTTGGAGCCCTGGTGGCACAACAGTTAAGCACTCAGCTGCTAACTGAAAGTTTGCCTGTTCAAACCCACCCAGTAGGTCTGTGGGAGAAAGACTTAGTGATCAGCTTCTGTAAAGATTACAGCCCAGGACATTTTATGAAGCAGTTCTACTGTCACATGGGATTGCTGTGAGTCAAAATTGACTCAACAGCACTTAACAACAACACTACCATAAAGCTCTTCCTCTGCCCATCACACTCCTCCCCTGCTGCCTTAAACTAGGTGGGGTCTTAGCTCGGTTGTCACCTCGTCAGCCCTGCCCTGGCCACCTGGTCCAAAGTAGGTGCCCCCCCCCCCCGCCGCCATCTTTTCTAGCACTTAACACATTTACAGATTTTATGCTTGTTCCTGTTCATCGTAGACTGTGAGTTTAGTTGTTAAACTAAGCAATGAGCAAGCAACCTTCCAAGGGAGGCACTATGTAAAAACTGCTTGGGGGTGGTGTCTGATCCTCTAACTTCACAAGGGGAGAGAGAGTCAAGATCAACAGCCCAAGGCTGATTCCTATGAGGCAGAGGTCAGACATGCCTCCTCAATCTACCACCTTTACCAGTTCTGACACTAACCAAATGGTACTCTCTACTTCTGTGCTGGGTTTCATAATTCATTGTAATGGCCACACAGAACTCACAGACAATAGTCACAATTACGGGGTTTATTAGGGAAGTAACAGGTTACAATTCATGCTCAGTTGACACTGAGGATACAGTTCTTCCATCAGGACAGCCTCTTTTCAGCTGTGCTCATAGGTACGCCTCTCTCTGGCCCTAGGCCTTTGCCCTGCTTTGGCAAGTGTTACAAAGCTCTTTTAGCCACTGCCAGTATGTCTCCAGAGGCACCCTACTCCGCCAGGAAGCCTCGGCTCAAAGGCACTCAGCTTTCTCGCTCTGTGGGGCAGGGAACCCACTGCGTGGTCTCCTGCCAGTCTCTCCTGCTGGTGTGTCCTGCAGCCGTTTTTCTGCCACACTTTTTGCTGTCTTTAGGGTTATGGCTCGCTTGCTCTCTCTCTGCCTCCTGGGTCCAGGAGCTTCTTGGTGCAGGGATCCTGGGTCCAAAGTATGCGCACTCTGCTCCTGGCTGTTCTTCTTTGGTGGTGCTGGGATCCTCTCCTTCCTGCCTCTGGGATGGCTCATTTCAGGCCCAACCGGATGGCAAAACTGACCAATCCCCTTGGTGGGCCACAGATACCCTATTTGCACAGTCTCACCCAATCAGTTGGGTGGGAGTCGCAAGACCATGACAAGGCCACACAAAAGTGATCCATTACACCGCACACTATTATTCTATTTTACTGACAGGAAACAGAGACTCCAGGGGAAGTGAACAGCCTAAGGTCACCCAGCAGATGGTAGAAGTGGATCTGATCCCACATTCACCGATGGGGAGGAGGGTGGGGACACTCGACACATCAGGGTCCCAGGGGCCTATTTACCATCCTTGCCCCTGTGGGAAGAAACAAAAGGCCCCATGTCAGCTCTTTCTCCTGGGAGGTTCCATCAGGGCCTGAAGCCAGGAGAGCTGGGACTATCGATTTTTCCTCTTCAGAGCACTCACCTGCCTGGTGTCTCACTTTGTCTCCAAAGGTCCCTGTAAACAGGCAGCCCAGCAAGCATTTGCTGCTGCTGCTGCTGCCATCCATGAGCCTGATAGCGTGGACCTGAGACCCCAGAGTGTTACACAGTGTGTGGTTCCCTTTGTGGGAAGTATGAGAACAGATGAAACTCACCCTGGGTGTCAGAAATCCTGGTAGTGGTCGCCTTTGCCTGGAAGGGGCAGAGAGCTGTCCAGGGTTCTGAAAATGCCCCGGCTCTAAGCAGGCCGGGGTGGGTGGGGGTGCCTTCCCTGAGGAAGCTCAAGGCAGGCAAGCATCCTGCCCTCTTGGAGCCTGGGTTTCTGTCCTATAAAATGGAACTTGTAGTGTTGCCTCGTGTGGAGTCCCTGGGTGGTGCAATCTGCTTGACTACTACCCAAAAGGATGGCGGTTTGAACCCACCCAGGGGTGCCTCAGAAGACAGGCCTGGTGATCGGTTTCCGGAAGGTCACAGCCTTGAAAACGGTATGGAGCGGTTCTACTCTGCACATATGGGGTCCCCCCATGAGTCAGAATCAACTTGATGGCAACTGGATTTTTGTTTGTTTTAGCATTGCCTTACTCATAACTCCGAGTGAGCTGAGAGCAATAAGGTGCTCTTTCAACATACCTGGCACATAAATGACCACTGGTCATTGTGGTTTGGACAAGCCCTGAGGGGTCAGCAGGAGGGAGCAGGCCCAGGACAGGTGGTGCAGGGACCATCCCAGGCAGGACAAGCCACCATGAGAGGGTCTGGTCCCTGGGAAAGAGGGCCCCTAGCTGGCGAGGGGAGTGGGTGTGTGGTGAAGCCCTGAGGTTGGCAGGATCTTGGAGCCACAGGGGCCTTTCGGGTAAGGGGATTTGCAGGGTAGGGTCTCTGGGGCCTGAGGGCATCACTGGCTTCCCACACTCCCTTGCCCTTCTCTAGCTCTGCCGTCTCAGGCCCCTTCCTGTCACCCAGAGGAGAACATTGAGGAGGACGAGCTGGAGGCCCAGGACACTGAGCTCCCAGCAGATGCCTTCCACGTGAGTTTCCTGAAATGCTAGCGGGCTCATATGGCCCCTTGCTTCCATCCCCGGTTCTGTGACGTTTCTCCTCCTCCAGACTTAGGTTGTACACAGGGCATGCTCCCTGGGCACACATGTCCAGGGCTGGTTCCTCTGGACCCTGGACCCCTCTACCTCCTCAGCCTGGGTGGGGCTTAGAGGTGAGGAAACAGTTGCTGGGGCCCCATCACTGACCCAGAGCACCTCTGAGGAGGCCGCACATCTGGGCAGTGCTCCCTGAGGCCTGTCTGGGCTGTAGGCGTTCTTTGTGGCCACACTGTTACTAGTCGACATCCAGAAAAGGGACAGAGCTGGGCCTGGTGGACAGACATGTATTAGCAGATGAGTGAGTGAACGGTGGCACCGAGCCTCTACGTACCTTGTTTTTATGTTCAGATGGGGTAGGAATTTTGGACAGTAAGGATGAAAAGATGGGATTATGAAGTCAGCCCTTCTCCAGGGCCAGGGGGGTGCTGCTGCAGAGGAGGAATGCTGGGCAGGCACTCAGGTTGGGGCTAGTGCAGACACCATCCAGCTGTCCCTTTGGGGGCCACAGAGCCAAGTGCCCAGGGAGGTCATAAGGAATTGCCGTGAAGTGGTGACTCCAGCACCCAGCACATTATCATTATGGTAACAGTGCTGGCTCTTGGCTCAGGCCATTCAGAGTATGTGTCCTCCCATGATGTTGTTGGTTGCCATCAAGTCAGTTCTCACTCATGGCGATCCCGTGTACAGAGTAGAACTGCTCCATAGGGTTTCCTTGTCTACCGTCTTAACAGAAACAGATCACTGGGCCGTTTCTCCTACCTTGCTGCTGGGTGGGTTCAAACCACACACTTTTAGGTTAGAAGCTGAGTGCAAACAGTTTAGGCCATCAGGGACCTCCCACCATGGTAACAGGGTGTTTTGCAGAATGTTCACGTCCCCCGACCCTGCGAGGCCAGCCTTGGTTGGACATGGCCCATGGCTGAGTAGATGCCTGTGATGTTTCAGAAGCCAGTGGTGACCTTCAAGGACGTGGCTGTGGACTTCACCCGGGAGGAGTGGGGGCTGCTGGGCCCAACCCAGAGGATCCTTTACCGCAACGTAATGCTGAGGAACTACAGCAACCTGGTGTCCCTGGGTGAGGCCTCCCCCGTCCCCACCTTCACCCGTGTCGTTGTGTGTGTGCCTGTGTGCCTCCTCCTCAGTCACCCACACCAGGTGTGTCCTTGCTATGACCCTGTGCCCCAGTCATGCGCCCTCTGTGCACAGAAACCGGGCACACAGCCCAGGTCACCAGGGCGAGGCCTTTGTCACTGCTAGGCACCTCACTTGCAGTGTCCTGGCCCTGTGCGGGGCCTGACTTACTTAAAGCAACAGCATTGACACTTTCCCCTTCTCGCCTCGGGCAGGACTTCCCGATTCCAAACCAGACGTGATCTCCAAGTTGGAGCAGTGGGAAGACCCCTGGATTGTAGAGAGAGATGTCCCGAGAGGCTCCTGGCCAGGTGAGTGAGAATGAGGGCGTGCCTATTAGATCACTTATTTCCTCCTCTTTATAGATGGGGTCAAAGGTTCCTAGGTAGTGCAAACGGTTTGCACTCGACTACTAATCGAAAGGTTGGCGGTTTGAATCCACCCAGCGACACCGTGGAAGAAAGGCCTGGCAATCTGCTTCTGTAAAGATTACTGCCAAGAAAACCTTTTGGAGTTCAGTTCTGCTCTCATGCTTGGGGTTGCCATGAGTCGTAATTGACTCAACAGCAACAGGGTTTTTGGTCTTTTTAATATATGGGGTCATAGTGGTGCAGTATTTCATCCAGATAAAATAGCTCATAGGTAGAGGAGCCCCCATAAAAACCTGTACCTGTTAGCAGTCACTCCCCATTCCCTCTCCCCAAGCCTGTGGCAACCAATAGCCTACTTCCTATATCCATGGATTTGCCTATTCTGGATATTTCCTATCAGTAGAATCATACAGTATGTGGCTTTTTGTGTATGGCATCTTCACTTAGCATAAGGTTTTCAAGGTTCACCCACATTGTGGCATGTATCAATACTTCATTCCTTTTTATGGCCGAATAATATCCCATTGTATGGATGGACCACATTTTGTTTATCCATTTATTTGTCCATAGACATTTGGGTTGTTTCCACTTTTTGGCTCTTATCTACTTTCCGTACAAGTTTTTGTGTGGGCATGTGTTTTCAGTTCTCTTGAGTGTATTCCTAAGCGTAGAATTGCTGTTATATGGTAACTGCATGTTTCTTAAAGAACTGCCTGTTTTCCGTAGCAGTTCAGCATTTTACATTCCTGCAATGTACAAGGCTTCCAGTTTCTCCAGGCTGTCACCAATACTTGTGATTTATTTTGCCTTTTTGATTATAGTCATCCTAGTGGGTCTACATAACTTATTTCCATGATTACGAATGGTAAATTAATTTTCAGACACAAATCACAGCCCCAGATAATGAACACCTATGTGTAGGACACCTGCGGGGGTTAGACAGGCGTCATCTCACAGCATCCTCACTGCAGCCCCATGAGGCATTTGGTGTGAGGTCCTGGCAGTAGAGCTGGGTTATATGTGCATTTTCTCCCCCTGCTGCAGTACCTCCCATGGACCCTGCTCCTGACCCTCCAGTAGTCCAGGAAGGAGCCCTAGGCTTTAGGGACAGTGAGAGCCACACTCCTGGCTCTGCTTTCAGGCCTCAACCAGTGCCCACGCGCAGGGTCTGGCTGTGCAGCGATATTGGTGGATTGGTCAGTGCCTGGTAGCTGTTTTCAGCATGAGGCTTGGGGGCTAGCATTGGGGGCCGGTGCTGGAGACGGTTTTCTTTCCTTGAGACTTTTCCTCAGACATCCAGATCCTGGTAAATGATGCTGTTCAACTGGGCAGGTCTGTCGTATATGAAATATGTTCACTCCGACCTTGGACCAACCCTCTTCCCTGGGTTCAGGCCTTGTCACTGGGAGTCTTTTCTACCTCTTGTTATTGCGAGTTGTAAGGTCGCTATGAGTCAGAATCAACTCAGTGGCAATGGGTTTTATTCCCTGTGGCTGCTGTAATAAATCCCCACCAACTTGGTGGCTTAAAACAATGCACATTTATTCTCTCACAATTCTGTAAGCTTAAAGTCCAAAATCTGCATCACTGGGCTGAAATCAAGGTGTCGGCAGGGTCTGCTTCCCCTCTCTCTGGAGGCTCTAGGGGAGAATCCCTCCTTGTCTCTTCCAGCTTCTGGTGGCTGCTGGCATTCCTTGTGGCTGTTTCACTCCAATCTCTGCCTCTGTGGTCATATCACCTAATCCTCTCTTTGTTAAACCTCCCTCTGCTTCTCTCTTGTAAGGATGCATGAGATTGCCTTTAGGGTCCACTAGGATAATCTAAGACAATCTCCCCATGTCAGATTATTTGCTTAATCATATCTTTTGCCATATAAGGTAACATTCACAGGTTCCGGGCATTAGGACTAAAATATACCTTGCTATTGTTTGCTAATGAGTCAATTCTGACTCCTAGTGACTCTATATAACAGAGTAGCACTGCCACGTAGGGTTTCCCAGGCTGTACTATTTACAGGAGCAGAATGCCAAGTCTTTTCTCCTGCTGAGCATTTGGGTGGATTCAAACTGCCAACGTTCTGGTTAACAGCTAAGTGCTTAACCACTGCACCACCAGGGCTCCTTGTATGTACCGAAAAAACCAAACCAAACCCGATGCGGTTGAGTCGATTCCAGCTCAGCGACCTTATAGGACAGAGTAGAGCTGCCCATAGGGTTTCCAAGGAGCAGCTGGTGGATTTGAACTACAGACCTTTTGGTTAGCAGCCAAGCTCTTTAACCACTGTGCCACCAGAGCTCTGTATATACCTTACGGGGACCATTTTCCACCTACCACACAGGATCTCACACCTCAGACACACAGCTTCACCATTTATTAGCTGGGTGACCATGGGCTCATTTGTTACCTTTCCTGAAGCCCAGGCCTTCTAACATATCACCTCGCTTTTGAGGTTGTGGTGTGGGCCATAGTGTATCCATCCCGCAAATAATTAGTGCACATCCACAGGGACTGTTTTAAGGAGAAGAGGGTTGAGAAATGCCCAAAATGGTGGCAGAGTCATGAGTGGCTCTTGGTGACCTTGGCCCATCTCTTTGTGTGCTCCCTTACACCATCTCCATTCCCTACTGTGCAGAAAAGAATTACCATAGCAGGCTGAGACTGTCATCCTTGGAAAGGCCTTGGCTGGCATTTGGGAACTTGGATTTCTAAAGAGCTCCCACCACCCTAACTGATAAAGAGTGGCTTACTGCACTCCATCTAACACCAGCAGAATTCACAGTCTTCTCAAGTGTCCATGCGGTATTCTCCAGGAAAGTTAAGTCACAAAACAAGTCTCAATAAACTCTGAAACACTGAATTGTTACAAAATATCTTCTTCAGCCACAGTGGAATGAAACTAGAAATCAATAATAAGGAAAACTGGAACATGTACAAATAGTGGAAATTAAACAACATACTCTTAAACAACTGATGGGTCAAAAATGTAATCACAAGGGGAAATATAAAATGTTTACACATGAAATGAAAATATGACATACTAAAACTCATGGGATGCAGCTAAAGCAATGCTCAGAGGGAAATTTATAGCCTCAAATGTCTACATAAGGAGTCCTGGTAGCGTAAGGGTTAAACACTCAGCTGCTAACCAAAACGTTGGTGGTTTGAACCCACCCAGCAGCTCCGTGGGAGTAAAGACCTGGTGATCTGCTCCTGTAAGGATTACAGCCTAGGAAACCCTATGGAGCAGTTCTACTCTGTCCTGTAGGGCTACTATGAGTCAGAATCTACTTGACAACACACAACAGCAACAACAAACGTCTACATCAAAAAATATCTCAAATTGAAGAGTGGCTCCCTGTGCCTAAACTGTGGAAACAATGTGATTTATGCCGAACACCTGCTTTCCTTCTTGAGTCTCGAATTTTGTTACGTGCCAGGCAGGGAGTGCCTATGTGACCAGCCTCCAATAAAAACGTTAGGCACTGAGTCTCTGATGAGCACCAGCTGGTGGACAACCTTTCACACACTGGTCACAACTCATTGCTGAGGGAATTAAGTTGCAACTCCACTGAGGGAGGACTCTTGGAAACTTGCACCTGGTTTCCTCTGGACTTCACTCCATGCTCCTTTTCCCTTTGCTGCTCTTGCTTTGTATCCTTTTGCTGTGATAAACGATAGCCGTGAGTCCCATGAGTCCTAGCAAGTCCTTGAACCTGGAGGTGGTCTTGGAGACTAGACACACCCACTGTTCTGTCCTTAGACCCTGGACCCTTCCTCAACCGCAAGAGCTCTGTCTGGAAGCCTCAGATCTATATGATCCCTGGCCAGCATCTTATTCTGCTATCCTGCTCTGATGACTTAATAAGTTCTGTCCGTCCTCTCACAGAGGGAGAGCACATTCAGGTTGCGACCTGAGCTTGGTTGCTTGTTTTTCAGACTCAGAGCCGGACAGCCGGCCTGCACCACCTCCTCCAGATGAAGATGCATCACCTCAGAGGTGTACGACAACAGGACTCCCGGGGCAGGATTTCTGGTACACCATGTTGAGAGACGTCCCGGAGCTGGATGGCTGGGCAGTGGAGGGACGGCGGCACTGCAGCCAACACAAGAAAAGCCCCCAGCAGAGTGTCACGGGAAGTTTCCCCTGGAGCCTGTTTCTCATGGAGCATCAGGCCACTCCAGCGGGGGTGCAAGCTTCTGAGAACCATGGCCACAAAAACAGCGGGTCAGTCCTAGACCAGGGTCACCCCTGCAGAAGTGAAGGGGTATCTGGGGAAGCCTCTGCCTGTTTCCCAGAGCTTAGTCAGCCACAAGGAGTCCATACTGGGGAGGGCACACCAGCATGCAACGATGCCTTTGGCAAGAACACACGCCTGGTGAGCTGTCAGAGGATTCCTGAGGGGAGGAAGTCCTATGCATGTGAGGAGTGTGGGAAGGCCTTCAGCCAGAGCACGCGTCTCATTCAACACCAGCGGATCCACACTGGCGAGAAGCCCTACGTGTGCCGGGAGTGCGGACGTGCCTTCAGCAAGAACTCATCCCTCATCAAACACCAGCGGATCCACACTGGCGAGAAGCCCTATGTGTGCAGCATCTGTGACAAGCGCTTCCGCGAGAGTTCGGCTCTTGCCAGACACCAGCGAGTACACACAGGCGAGAAGCCGTATGTGTGCAGCGAGTGCGGCCGCGCCTTCAGCCAGAGCACCCACCTGGTGCAGCACCAGCGCGTCCACACCGGGGAGAAGCCGTTTGCCTGCAGTGAGTGTGGCAAAGCCTTTGCCAGCTCCTCGGCTCTCCTCGTCCACCACAGGACCCACACCGGGGAGAGGCCCTATGTGTGCGGCGTGTGTTGCAAGGCTTTCAGTGTCAGCTCGTCCCTGGCTGAGCACCAGCGCTGCCACACCGGGGAGAAGCCGTACATGTGCCATGAGTGCGGCAAGGCCTTCAGCCAAAGTGCATCCCTCAGCAAGCACCAGCGGGTGCACACGGGCGAGAAGCCCTATGTGTGTGTTGAGTGTGGGCACGCCTTCAGCCAGAGTTCATGCCTGGCCAAACACCAGCGGATGCACACGGGTGAGAAGCCCTATGCCTGCAGCGAGTGCGGGCGCGCCTTCAGCGAGAGCTCCTACCTGACCCAGCACATGAAGTTCCACAGTGGTGATAAGCCCTACAGGTGTGCCGAGTGCAGGAAGCGTTTCAGCAGCTCCTCTGCTCTTGTCCTGCACCAGCGGAGCCACACAAGAGAGCGGCCCTATACATGCAGAGAATGTGGCAAGGCCTTCAGCCAGGCCAAGTTCCTCATGCAGCACCAGCGCATCCACACTGGGGAGAAGCCCCACGTTTGCAGTGACTGCGGGAAGGCCTTCATGCAGAGCTCATCCCTCGCCCTCCATCAGAGGACGCACTCGGGGGAGAAGCCGTACAAGTGCAATAAGTGTGGCAAGGCCTACATCCAGCTGTCACACCTAACTGAGCACTACCGGGCGCACACCAGTGAGCGGCCCTATGCCTGCAATGTGTGCGGCAAGGCCTTCAGCCGCGGCACACACCTCACGCAGCACCAGCGGGTCCACGCAAGCGCCAATCCTTTTGTCTGTGGCACTTGTCAGAAAACCTTCCCTGAGGCTGCAGCCCTCCTTCTCCATCAGAGAGTTCACATTGAAAAGAAGCCTTTCAAGTGTTGCGAATGCGGCAGAGCCTTCAGCCAGAGCAGATTCCCAGTCCAGCATCAGGGAACTCACTGCCCGGGGAGACCGTGTGAATACAGCGAGCACCAGAATACCCTCAGCAACTGTTTAGTTCTTGTGCGTCAGTGAAGTGCGGGCCTGTGGAACTGTGGCAGAGGCCTTCTGTCTATCCTCGGTGTCCTGTCCTCCATTCTCAGGTGGCCCCTGTGCGTATCAGGAACGCAGGCTGGGTGTGGTGTGGCCCCTGCTGGGTCACCTACCTCATCAGGTGAGAAAGAGGGAGTGTGTCTTGGATCCGCGTTCCTCTTTAGGAAATACCCTCTGTGAAGATGTCAGAGTTGCTTCACCAAAACCTTCTGGAAGGTACCCTGGTGTTGCAATGGTTAAACACCTGGCTGCTAACCAAAAGGTTGGTGGTTTGAACCCAGCCAGCAGCTCTACAGGAAAGACCAAGTGATCTACTCCCGTAAAAGTTACAGCCTAGGAAACCCTATGGGGGCAGTTCTGCTGAGTCCTATAGAAGCTCTATGAGTCGGAATTGGGTCCAGGGCACCCAACAACCACCTTAATTCTTCTCAATCATGCAGGTTCGAGCGATGCCCACCAGGTGGCAGAAGATGCCCGCACGTGTGAGTGGGCTTCCTCAGCAGGGCCTGGAGCACAGTTCAAAAGTTAATTTTAAAAATAAGCTATTTTTAAATGATGCTCTTTTAGTTGTCTGTGTCTCCTATGTTTGGACCATATTTTTTGGGTTTTGTTTCTCTCCCCAAAACAGTAAGTTTTATATATTGAAATGAACCTCACAAAGTCCAGCTCTTTAAAAAAAAAGTTGCATTTTGTTCTTTAGCTTTAGTGTGAGGACTTCCTAAAGTCTGTTGAGATGGCGACGTTAATGTAAGACTTTATTCTGCACTATGTAAGCACTTTACAGGAGTCCCTGGGTGGTGCAGATGGTTGAGTGCTTCACTACTAACCGAAAGGTTGGCGGTTTCACCTACTAGGCACATGCACATTAAGTGTGACACACTCGGTCACACATTCACGCCTGAGGTCTCACTTGCAGACAGGAAGCTTCACGTGTAGTGGGCGCCCCCTCTCTCTGGCACACGCACGCGTGTGACATACCAGTAGCAGACACCTGAGGTTACACAGAAGTGTCCACAATGAACGATTTTTAGGGTGGCCTTCCGAAATCACACGCACATACGTGAGGGCACAGATAGCACGCCCACTCCTTATGGCTACACGCACACACCAGAGGTCTCACCTCCCCTCACAGTAATATGCACAAATCGGAGGTCGTACTTCCACAAACGGCACCGCGGCCCCCCGCCCCCGGCACGCACACGCGGTCCGCTCTCCCAGCACAGCCCGTGCTGGACTATTCCCGGGACTGTGCTTCCATCAGTCCCTCCTGCACATTCACGTCCATAGTGCCCACCGCCCTGAACACACACACCACACACCACACACACACGCCGACCGCCACACTCTCAGGACTCGCTGTGCCACCGCCTCTTTCTTACCGGCCGTCGGAGTCGACGGTCTGTGCTCCCGCCGCGCCTGCGCACATCCACTGCCGTCACTTCCGGGCCCACAGTTAGCACGGGTGGTTTGCGGCTGGCCCAGGACACATCTTCCGAAGGTCCCTACTCGCTCCGTGCCTGGCGCCGCTGGTCGCTTCAAGAAAAGGTTTCCTGGGAAAAGGAGTCCCGAGCGTTGCGCCACCAGGAGGGGAGCGTGGGAACTAAGTTAAGCGTGGGAACCTATCAGTTGCTGTGCGTGGAGTGAGGTTCCAAACATGTTGATATTGTAAAAGAAAAAAATTAATGACAGACATCTTACTTTGATTTTAGTGGTTACTTTCTCACACAGGAAACCAAAAATTAACTATAAAAAAGCCTGACACAAATGCAAAAGCATCGGCTCCCCCTACAACAAGCTGCTCTACAGCATTGTAAATTTGTCTTTTCCTCCTAGAAAAGGCTAGTCAATAACAAAACCATTACTTCGTGATTTAATGAGAAAGGATGTGGGCTCCCCTAATAATAATTTCAAGAGGACTCATAACTACAAAGGGTAAATGGGCAAAATTTTGAGAAGACTCTAATACTAACTCAGTAACTATTAAGTATACTTCATCATCATGGAAACTTGCATTCATTAAGAAAAAAATATTTAAAGCTTCCGTGAAATCCTCAATCTTTATAAGTGTTTCTTTTTCATTTTTTTTCCTTGATTTAGGGAGACACGCACCTCCAATTTGCAAATTATGATGCAATCAAATATTGTTTTGGGCTAATTCAAAGGTTTATTTTTTAACAATTTTAACAACCCTACTTTGCACTACTTGTTTTTGGAAACAAGATTCTCTTCCCTACATGCATATAGAACGCTTGGATTAAACTTTATTTTTTCAATTTCTTTGAATTTTGATTATTTTTAACAATATGCAGTTTTATATCATGTGTGTTCATTATTTTAAATGTCCAGTATATGTACGTTTTTCTTTCTGTACTCACACATACACATAGACATTTCTAAGTGTATATTTTGTTTTTTTCATGAACCCTTTGAAAGGCAGTAGACATCTGTAAAACCTTTGGCAAAGGTCCCCAAGGAACACAGCCATTCTTCTACCCACCCAGGAAATTAAACATTGAAACCACGCTTACCTACTCCATGCTCCAAATGCTTATTTCCCTAGTTACCCCCAATAATGTCCTAGATAGCTTATTTTAAAAAATATTTCATTCAGGCCTGATCAAGAATCACCTATTGGTCCTGTCTCAAGTCTGTTTTAATCCAGAATGGATCCTCAGCTTTTTTTTTGGAGAACATTGATACTTATCATGTAACTAAGCCAGTTTTTCGAAATATCCTCCAAGTTGCTTTTGTTTGATCATTTCCGTATAGAATAGATAAAATTTAAAAGAAAATCAGAATCAGATTTTACATACTCATCTTTTTTGTACTGACCCTGAATATTCCTTCATGTCATTAAACATTCTTCCGATTGTTCCTTTTTTAATGGCTACATAGTGTTTTCATTGTGTAAATTTACCATAATTTCTTTAATCCCTCTCCTTTTGCTAGAAATTGAACTACTGTAAGCACATGCAGTGCACATCCCTGTACATTCTTTCTTCTGTGTATATCCATGATGACTCCCTAAACATTAATAATGGATAAGCCCTGTGTGATGCAAATCATCTTCGTTAGTTAAGGGACATGCACCTAACATCAACAACAACAGTTAAGGGATGCCCCAAGGTACAGTGTGGGACACGAAAACTTCATCCATGGGCTGAAGGCCTCAGTGACCTAGTGTTTTGCTATTAGACAAATATGAATAAGTAAATGAGCACCAACTGCAGGAGGAAACAGCCCCAGAGGGGTCAGCTGATGGGACCACCACCTGTATGGATATTAAATTGGGGTTGAAATGACAGTTTATGACTCACAAGTCCTGGAGGGAAGCACGCTAGAGGGCTGCATGCAGAGTTCACACGGTTACCTACGAAGGGGAGAATCAGAGAGCAAGAAGCTGAGGGTCTGGAGGCAAAAATTTGGCAGGGCAGGCAGGGGGTCCTTATCTGATTTCCCAGATGTGACCTGTGCGTGGGGACAGGGAGAGCTAACAAGGGGAGGAACCACCTGTGGACTGTTATCTGGGATTTTGCTGTTTTGAAATATGTAATGCTTAAGCACATTGCCATAGAGTGGTGCAGTGGTTAAGCGCTAGGCTGCTAACCAAAAGGTCAGTGGCTAGAACACAGCAGCTGCACTCGGGGAGAAAGATGTGATGATCTTGCTTTCCATAAAGATTACGGTCTAAGAAATCTATGGGGCAGTTCTACCCCGTCCTATAGGGTTCACTGAGTTGGAATCCACTCGACGGCAATGGGTTTGGTTGTTAATATTTAAGCAGAGACTGGAAGAAAAGGGATGATGTGGCATCAAAAAATGGAGTTTGGATTTCTTGGGATACCTGTTGTGGTGTTGTTAAGTGCCATCAAGAAGGTTCCGACTCACAGCGACCCCATGTACAACAGAACAAAACACTGCCCTGTCCTGCACCATCCTCACAGTTGTTGCTATGCTTGAGCCCATTGTTGCAGCCACTGTGTCAATCCATCTCCTTAAGGGTCTTCCTTTTTGTTCAATGACCCTCTATCAAGCATGATGTCCTTCTCCAGGGACTGGTCCCTCCTGATAAATGTCCAAGGTATGTGAGTCAAAGTCCTGCCATCCTCGCTTCTAAGGAGCATTCTAGCTGTACTTCTTCCAAGACAGGTTTGTTCGTTCTTTTGGCAGTCCTTTTGGCAGTCCATGGTATATTCAATATTCCTCGCCAAAAGCATACTTCAAAGGCATCAGTTCTTCTTCAGTCCTCCTTATTCATTGTCCAGCTTTTGCATGCATATGAGGCAATGGAAAATACCATGGCTTGGGTCAGGCGAACCTTAGTCCTCAAAGGACATCTTTGCTTTTTAACACTTTAAAGAGGTCTTTTGCAGCACATTTGCCCAATGCAATACGTCTTTTGATTTGACAGCTGCTTCCATGGGTGTTGACTGTGGATCCAAGTAAAATGAAATCCTTGACAACTTCAGTATTTTCTCCATTTATCATGATGTTGCCTGTTGGTCCAGTTGTGAGCATTTTTGTTTTCTCCATGTTGAGGTGTAACCCATACTGAAGGCTGTGGTCTTTGATCTTTATCAGTAAGTGCTTCAAGTTCTCTTTTCTTTCCACAAGCAAGATTGTGTCATTTGCATGCTGCAGGCTGTTGATGAGTCTTCCTTCAATCCTGATGCCGCATTCTTCTTCATATAATCCAGCTTCTCAGAGTATTTGCTCAGCATACAGATTGAATAAATATGGTCAAAGGATACAACCCTAGCACACACTTTTCCTGACTTTAAACCATGCAGTATCCCCTTGTTCTTTTCGAAAACTGCCTCTTGTTCTATGTTCAGGTTCTGCATGAGCACAATTAAGTGTTTTGGCATTCCCATTCTTCGCAATGTTAACCATAATTTCTTATGATCCACACAGTAGAATGCCTTTGCATAGTCAATAAAACACAAGTAAACATCTTTTCTGGTAGTCTCTGCTTTCTGCCAAGATCCATCTGACATCAGCAATGATATCCCTTGTTCCACATCCTCTTCTGAATCTGGCTTGAATTTCTGGCAGTTCCCTGTTGATGAACTGTTGTAACCATTTTTTAATTCAGCAAAATTTTACTTGTGTGTGATATTAATGATACTGTTCGATAATTTACACATTCTGTTGGATCACCTTTCTTTAGAATGGGCACAAATATGGATCTCATCCAGTTGGTTGGCCAGGTAGCTGTCTTCCAAATTTCTTGGCATAGACAAGAACACTAACAGCATTGCATCCATTTGTTGAAAAATCTCAGTTGGTATTCCGTCAGTTCCTGGAGGCTTGATTTTTGCCAATGCCTTCAGTGCAGCTTGGACTTCTTCCTTCAATACCATCGGTTGTTAATCGTATGCTGCCTCCTGAAATATCTGACCATCAACCAAATCTTTTTGGTACATTGACTGTGTATTCCTTCCAACCTTTGATGCTTCCTGTGTCATTCAATATTTTGCCCATAGACTCCTTCAGTATTGCATCTCGAGGCTTGAATTTTTTCTTCAGTTCTTTCAGCTTGAGAAATGCCAAGCATGTTCTTCCCTTTTGGTTTCCTAACTCCAGGTCTTTGCACATTTCATTTTAATACTTTAGTCTTCTTGAGCTGCCCTTTGAAATCTTCTGTTCATCTCTTTTACTTCATTATTTCTTCCATTTGCTTTAGCTACTTGATGTTCAAGAGCAAGTTTCAGTCTCTTTTGACATCCATTTTGGTCTTTTCTTTCTTTCCTGTCTTTTTAATGACTTTTTGCTTTCATGTATGATGTCCTTGATGTCATCCCACAACTTGTCTGGTCATTAGTGTTCAATGCATCAAATCTATTCTTTAAATGGTCTCTAAATTCAGGTGGGATGTACATACTCAAGGTCATACTTTGGCTCTCGTGGACTTATTTTAATATTCTTTGGCTTCAACTTGAACTTGCATATGAGTAATTGATGATGTGTTCCATAGTCTGCCCCTGGCCTTGTTCTAACTGATGATATTGAGCTTCTCCATCGTCCCTTTCAACCAATGTAGTTGATTTGATTCCTGTGTATTCCATCCAGAGAGGTCCACAAGTATACTCATAGTTTATGTTGTTGAAGAAAGGTATTTGCCGTGAATAATCCGTTAGTCTTGCAAAATTCTGTCATGCGATCTCTGGAGTCGTTTCTATCACCAAGGCCGTATTTTCCAACTACCGATCCTTCTTTCACTTGTCTGTCAGTTTGTCATACTGTGGTGGCTTGCATGTTGCTGTGATGCTGGAGGCTATGCCACGGTTGTTTCGAATGACAGCAGGGTCACCCATGGTGGACAGGTTTCAGCAGAGCTTCCAGACTAAGACCGACTAGGAAGAAGGACTTGGTGATTTACTTCTAAAAAAAAATGGCCAGTGAAAACCATATGAATAACAGTGGAATGTTGTCTGATATAGTGCCAGAAGATGAGCCTCTCAGGTTGGAAGGCACTCAAAATATTATTGCAGAAACACTGCCTCCTCAAAGTAGAGTGGACTTTTTAATGATATGGATGGAGTCAAGCTTTTGGGACCTTCATTTGCTGATGTGGTACGACTCAAAATAAGAAGAAACAGCTGCAAACATCCATTAATAATCAGAACATGGAATGTACAAAGTATGACTCTAGGAAAATTGGAAGTTGTCAGAAACGAAATGGAATGCATAAAGATCTATATCCTAGGCATTAGTGAGTTGAATTGGACAATCATATGGTCTACTATGCCAGGAATGACAAAATGAAGAGGAATGGTGTTGCATTCATTGGCGAAAAGAACATTTGAAGATCTGTCCTGAAGTACAACACCGTCAGTGACAGAATATCCATAGGCTTACAAAGAAGACCAGTTAATATGACTGTTATTCAAATTTACGCACTGTCTTAGTTATCTAGTGCTACTATAACAGAAATACCACAAGGTGGATAGCTTTAACAAAGAGAATTTATTCTCTCACAGTCTAGGAGGCTAGGAGTCCAAATTCAGGGTGCCAGCTCCAGGGGAAGGCTTTGTCTGTCGGCTCTGGAGGAAGGTCCTTGTCATCAATCTTCCCCTGGTGTAGAAGCTTCTCAGCGCAGGAACCTTGGGTCCAAAGGGCATGCTCTTTGCCCGGCATTGCTTTCTTGGTGGTATGAGGTCCCCCTGTCTTTCTGCTCGCTTCTCTCTCCTATATCTCAAAAGAGACTGATTGAAGACACAACCTAATCTTGTAGATTGAGTCCTAACTCAACGTAACTGCCTCTAATCCTGCCTCATTAGCACCATAGAGGCAGAATTTACAATGCATAGGAAAATCACATCAGATGACAAAATGGTGGACAATCACACAATACTGGGAATCATGGCCTAGCCAAATTGACACATATTTTGGGGGGACACAATTCAATCCATAACATGCACCAACCAGTAATGCCAAAGCTGAAGAAATTGAAGATTTTTACCAACTTCAGCAGTCTGAAATTGATGAAACATGCTATCAAGATGCATTAATAATTACATGACACTTGGGCTGCTATTTTTCAAGGTACAAGCAAAACAGGAGAAGCTGACTTTCAGTGTGCCGGCTGACCCAGCATTACCTTTTTCTAATCCCACTACAGTCAGACGATTGCAAATGGAAAAAAGAAAAAAACTTCGTCAGCTACCTACCTCTAGACCAGTGCTGTTCAAATGGATTTTCTGCAATGACGCCAATATCTTTTGACAACTGAGCAGTTGAAATGTGGCTAATGTGACTGAGAAATAGAATTCTGAATTTATTTAAATTTACATCTAAATAGTCACATGTGGCTAGTGACTACCACACTGGACAACACACTCTGGAAGATGCTCATCTTACATCTGCTTACAAGAGACCAAGGGAGACTGCTTTTCAGAATGCATGCAGATTTCTTCCCAGTTATCCTTTGTATCAACAACTGGATACCTCTGAGGACATGCAAGGAGACACCACTGGAGATGGGGGACTTGGCTGTTGGCCACAACTTGGGAAGCTCATAATTTGGGTGATTCATATAGAGGAATTTGTCTTAATAACTTGAAGATTATATATATATATATATATATGCGTTGCAACCACCTTCCAGGAAACTTCATCTTAACTTCTGTCTTTGGCATCATCATGGAGTTGAAGCTATTTACACATCCAACTGGTTCCATTAACACACACACACACACACACACACACACACACACACACAAAATGTGTGACCAAGACACAGAAGTCCCTGTTCATGTGGATATTTCTAGTAGGAAGAGGCACATTAAACCCATTTTGAGTTACAATTTTTTAATTTAACTTGTATATTGGTAATACTTTACATTTCAAAAGTACAAAGGTATGAAAGATGTATTGTGAAAACTATTTCTCACCTGTTCTCCAGTCCCCCCAACTCTCCCCTCCCCAAGGGCAACTAACTTGTACCTGGTTACTTTGTATATTTCCAGTGATAGGTGTGTATAAAAGTGAGAAAATAAATATAAATGTATATATGTGTGTATATACTCTTTACACAAATGGAAAATACTATACACTGTTTCGCACCTTGCTTTTTTTATTTAAGGAATCACTGAGTGCTTTCCCACATTAGTACATAAAGACAGTTCCCACTTTTAAGGCCATGTAGTTCTCCATTGCATCAAAATTACCCAGTTCCCCATGGTGGATGTTAAGGTTATTTTTTCAGTGTTTTACTTTTAAAATCAATACCATGACAAAAACCATGTTATGAACATGATTTAAATGTGTATAAATACATCTGTAGGATTCATTCCCAGCAGTGGGTTTGCTGGAACACTGGGACAGGGGTTTGTCCATTAGTAATTTTGATATTGATTACCAAACTGCCCCCATAGAGGCTGTATCAGTTCATACTCCATCCTGAAATAATGTTCTCTTTTTTTTTTTTTAAACACTCAAGGCTGGTAAAATATTGAGTGGAGGGCATATTGCTACAATCCTCCTGAAAGTTCATTAAAAAAGATACACGAAATTCATTGTCAGGGGCAAATTCTCAAGATATGGTAAGAAGCACTTGTTACAGGAGCACTAGAAATCTAATTTTCAGAAGAAAACTATATGAATATATGTGTGTGTATAAGACTTAATGTACACTATGAATATTTGTGTGTACATATTCATGTATATTTTAAGAAAAAATTTCAAGGAAAATTAGCAAAATCTTAATAGTAACGACCATCTCTGGTGGATATATGGGGAATTAAATTTTAAATAAATTTTCATACTTTTGTGTATTTTTCAGGTTTTTCTACAAAGAACATTAATTTTATAAACAGATCAAACCATGCATTTTCCCAAATTTATACTAATTTCTTGAGTTTCTTGACTGGCTCTGTTTCAAAATGTCTACAAGGAAATCAGTACGATAGTGGAAGAAGTATTACTCCTAGAAAGCATAAACTGAAATGAGAAACAGAAAATTTCCAAAAATCAGTTACCTATTCCTTTCATCTGCCGGGAGAAGGGAATTATGTGAGCGCTGATAGTGGACGTGTTTGTTTCAGGTTTACCAAGTGAGGCCACATTAACCATCCCAGTGTCCACTCTGAGAACTGAGAAAACAAGACACCTTAAGATCTGTTATTTTCGTGGGCAGAGGTGGAGGGAACCAGCCGATCACAGGTCCAGCCTCCAGAGTTGTCCAAAACTGTGATTATTACTGCTGGGTCTCCCTCTCCCCAGAGGATACAGGCAAGTCAGACAGAGCTTTAGTGTCTGTATTCCCGAATCTGCACCCAACATACCTGTGGGGCAGCAAAGAGGAATGGTCAAAAGCAGGGCTCTGATATCATAACGCCCAGGTTCAAATCCTGGCTGGGCCACTTACCTCAGCATTGTGGCAAGCCACTTCATCTCTCTGGGCCTCTATTTCATCATCCATGAAATGGGATAATAACGGATCAGTGTTGGTGAGTTCAGGTCACATTGCACTGCAGTAACCCACCCCCGAAACCTCAGACACAAGAAGTTTATTTCTCCCTCATGCTGCCTGTCTATCCCAGGCAGGCAGGGAGGCTCTGTTCACGAGTCACTCAGTTCCCCTCCACATGTGCTTTCACGGCCTCTGAGGCAGTGACACAGGGACATGGCAGCTCACACACTGGCTCTTATTCTACCCAGAAGTGACACAGGTCCCTTCTGCTGATATGATTGGCCAGAGCAAGCCACATGGCCATCCCGGACTTCAGCGGAGGCAGGACATAGATGAAGGAGGACTTCCCTGGCACGTTTCACGAAGTACTGAATCAAAGCTGTGCCGAGAGGAACACTGCATTGTTCCCAACTTTAAGGAGAACATCTGTAGTCATTCCTTTGAAGAACGGTTTTCCTGCTAGTTTCAGAAATCCGCAATTAGTTTTCTTCTACTCCTTATTTATTGTGAGTCTCTTTGAACAATGATACTGAATTTCATTAAATGTTTTTCTGGCTTCTGTTGACATGAGATGATCATGGGATTTTTTCTTTAACCTGTTACTGCAAAGTTTCTGAGTGGTTTCTTAATGCCGGACCATCTTTGCATGTTTGGAGTAAGAATTTCTTGATTATGGAGAGTATTCATTAATTCCCTGCTGGATCTGATGTGCTACTTTTTAAAAAAAAAGGATTTTCACTCTTTATTGAGATTAGCCACTGTGGTATTTCTTATTCTGTTCCCTCCCTTACCCATTCCCCATCTCCAGGCTATGTATGGCTAGGCTATGGGCTAGGGGAACTTTCTGCTCCCATGCCAAGCCTAATTCCACTCATTTTCTCTTGCAATCAAGAAATGTCTGCCCACGAGGAGTGGGCATGCCCTCCCCTCTAGCCCTTAAGATTACTGGTTCACATAAGCATATTATGATCTGTGTATCAGATTGGGTATATCACTGATATGACAGATGGTAAACTGTACAGCGTTGCCTCTGCTATTTGAATAGCTCACAGCAGCCTGACCAGCTCACCTGTGAGATGGACCTTGCCTGTAAGCACATGAGGGCCTGCACCTTGGCTGGGTGAGATCTTTTACGTCCTTTTCAATTTCTCCTATGTTCAGCATCTAATTGTGCTTTCAACATCTTGAGCTGATTTAGACCACTTGTATCTCCCTGGAGAAAGCACCAATTTGTCTAGGTCTTCAAATTTATTGACAATATGACTATAAATACCCTTTTTAAAATTAAAAGAAACTTTTGAGTTGAAGTTAAAAAAAAAAAAAAACTATCAGGAGTTCCTGGGTGGTGCAAATATTTAACATACCTGGCTGCTAACTGAAAGGTTGGAGGTTCAAGTTCACACAGAGGTGCCTTGGGAGAAAGGCCCGGCAATCTACTTCTGAAAAATCAGCTATTGTGGGGAAAAAGTACCTAGGGTCGTATCACCTTCCTAATTTTCACGTTCCCTCATTTTTACTTTGGTTAGACTTGCCAGTTGTGTCTCATGTGTTGGTCTTTTCAGTAAGGCAGTTCTTGGTTTCATTACTTAGTGAGCATTTACCTAGCACCTTGCCAATAGGAGCCAGACACTGCCCTGGAAGGTGGAAATGCTTTGATGAGGAGGACAACAGGCCAGGAACCCGTGCCCCCAGAGCTTCCTAGACCTGGAAAACCACAGAAGCAATCACAGCACAGGCAGAAGAGTGCTTCAACAGGGAAGTGTCATTGTGGTTTTGATTTGCATTTCTCTAATGGCTAGTGATAGGGAGCACAGCGGGGGCTCCCATCCCACAGCAAGCAAAGGCACAAGTACTTGAGACCTAAAGAGATGAGGACCAACCCAGTCAGAAGGGTGGTGTGTGAAGTGCCCCAAACAGAAGGGATGGCATACACAAAAGCCCAGAGGCAACAGGGAGGCTGAGAGGCATTTTAAAGGATGTAAAATAAGTTAAGAGGTTGGAGGGTATAAGGTACAAGTGGTGGAGATGTAGTGTGGGCAATGCTGTTGAGGGGGGCCAGCCAGTTAGGCTGCCATGTGAGGAGAGGCTGGAGACGAATCCCAGGGTGTGCAATCCAGCTGCTGTCCTGCGCTGGTGGTGGTCATGGTGACAGGATGATGTGAACAGATATGAGAGGTTTAGATGGTAAATTCAACAGGACTTCTACTGTGGAAGATGAACACAAGATGGTGTGTAGTTGTATCCCCCAGGAGAAGGGCCAGGAGAGGGGAACTGGTTTGGATTGGAAAACAGCAGTCTTGTTTTGGGTGGGCTGGGTCCAAGGAGCCTGTGGTGCATCCAGGGGAGCTTCCCAGCAGCACAAGACTGCTCTTCAGGTATGAAGTGCAGAACTCGGCACTAGAGCACAGATTTGGGAGCCATAGGTCTGGATGAGGACACACTGGGAGGCGTCCAAATGAGCTCCCAGGGCAAAATGTATTCTGGGTACCCCAACATTTAAGAGGGGTGAGGGGAAGAGAAGCCTACATCAGAAGCCAAACAGCCACTAAAGAGGTGGAAGAGTGTGGTATCCCAGCATGAAAGAGGACACATCATTGCAAGGAGGACAGCCTGGTCAGCAGGCTGGACAATCTAAGAGATGGACAGAAAAAAATTCTGAGATGTGGCAGCATGTGACCACAGCCACTGCAGTTCCTGTGAAGCAGCAGGGGCAGACTAGAGGGGTTTGATGTGTGAGCTGGCACTGAGGACATGGAGAGCTCAGGTGATTTTTTCGAGAGCGGGGAGAGGTGGAGGACAACTAGTTGCCTACCATCACCCACTTCCCAGGACCTATCTGCTCTACAGAGATTAGAAAAGCTGAATACAAGCACCCTTGTCACTCGGGGTGGCCCAGTCCTGGCCAATGAGACCTAAGTGGGCATCTGCTGGAGGCTTCTGGGAAAACCTTTTCTTTCCTCTTCGGAGAGAGGAGAGTTGTCCTGCTCTTTCTCTTCTTCCAGTTTAGACTGCAGATGCAATGGCTGGAGCTGTCTCTTGTGACCATGACAGAAAGGGAGAAAACACTGGCTCTGACATAACTGAGCCACTGAAAAGACAGTCTTCTAACAAAGCCTAATCTGTTTAAGCCGTTGTTAATTGGGTAAACCAAACCCATTGCCATCCAGTCGATTGCAACTCATAGTGACCCTATAGGTCAGAGTACTGCCTCATAGGATTTCCAAGGCTGTAAATCTTTATGGAAGCAGACTACCACATCTTTCTCCTGCAGAGCAGCTGATGGGTTCAAACCTCTGACTTTTAGTTTAGGCGCTCAGTGCTTAACCACTGTGCCACCAGGGATCCTGTTAATTGGGTACTGACTTCAAATTCTGACGCCACCATTTTCTAGCTGTGTAACCTTGGACTTAGTTACTCATTCTATGCCTTAGTTTCATCATCTATAAAATGGCATATTAATAGTACTACTTTATTGAACTATTATTATTGACGCACTGTCTGAAAATGCATTTCTTTTCCTTGGCTATGTAAAGGGTAAGGTTATCTGCTAGGACTGAAGTGGAAGGTGGTGTGGGCTGAGGTACAAGGGCACAGCTGCTGTGAAAAAGAGCTACCTTGGCTATGTAAAGGGTAAGGTTATCTGCTAGGACTGAAGTGGAAGGTGGTGTGGGCTGAGGTACAAGGGCACAGCTGCTGTGAAAAAGAGCTAGCAAGAGAAACACACAAGGACAACACAAGAGGAAAGGTGAGGACACAGAAACCAACCCTGGGCATCAATGGTTCTTGTAGAACCTCTGGAGATGAGCTGCAAAGCTGGCTCTGAACATCCTGGAAGCCAATTCTGCTCCAATGGAAACACCACCAATTGTGACACAGCAAAGAACAAAAATGGGCACATGAAGTCTGACAGTAAGTTCTGATGCTCAGTCATGAAGGTTGATCTTAAGCTCTGGCGCTCAACCATGATGTCTGATAGTAAGTTCTGGCACTCAACCATAAAGTTTTGACAGTAAGTTCTGGCGCTCAACCATGACGTTTGATAGTAAGTTCTGGCACTCAACCATGAAGTTTTGACAGTAAGTTCTGATGCTCAACTATTCTGAAACAGCTACTAGGACCTCACAGTTAAATTTTTCCAGGATGATAAATATTCCATTCTTTACCTTGCCAATCCAATAATCCTACTGCAGTATACTTTTTTACAGACCAATTTTTACATGCAGAGATGTGTCATAATCAATTTTTCATGTCTATGGTATATATTTAACTTCACTAGGATGCAACTGCAGTGGAAATACCGAACAAAAGCATGAGCTGATCAGAGCTGTGTATTAACAGCTGTTCTATATAACTGGAGCATATGACTTAGTGACCTGCTGCAACAGGTTTTTGGCTGTAGCTATGGCTTATGGGAAGGAGCCCTGTTGGTGCAGTGGTTAAGCCCCCGGCTGCTAACCAAAAGATAGGTGGTTTAAACCCACCAGCAGCTCCAAGGGAGAAAGATGTGGCAGTCTACTTGCGTGAAGATTACAACCTTGGAAACCCTACAGGGCAGTTCTACTCTGTCCTATAGGACAGCTATGAGTTGGAATTGACAGCATGCAACCACATGGCTTTGGGGATGGTCCCTGACTGTTTTGTTTTAGGGTAAATAGTAGCAGTTTAAATTCTTGGTGTTTTATTGGGTGCTATGAGACCCCAACCACCACAGCTCAATACACAATGTTAAGAACAGCCCAGACAAAGGTCAGAAACTTGGCTTCCTCATGGGAAAAATTGGAGAAAAGCAACAGGATGATCAAGCCAAAGCTTCAAAATGTAGGCATTAAAATGTCCTGATCTCATTATGCTCTTTTAAGAACAGTCTATATGGGTTCCAACTGACAACAGCAACTCAAAAGGTCAGACAGGAAGCTTAGAGGACAGTGAGTTTATGTTAATGGGGGAGGAACAACTCAGAAAAGGAGGGTAAGAATGGTTGTACAACTTGAATGTAATCAATGTCACTAAATGTACATGTAGAAACGGTTGAATTGGTGTATGTTTTGATGCGTTTACTCTTAACAACAACAAAATAAAAAAATTTTGAAAATGTTCTGCTCTCTAGAAAATCAACCATTTTCTCAGAAGTGTGGCTTCTGGTATTGAAAGCTAAGAGAAAGGTCTTCCACTGGTCCTTCAACAGAGGCCCCATGCAATGTGCCCCTACATGATGAGAACAGCTGGAGTCACATGACGCTCACAAGGCTCCTCATCACAGCCCAAACTCATTGCCATCAAGCTGATTCAGATGCATAGTGACCCTACAGGACAGAGTAGAAACCCCCATAGGATTTCCAAGAAGCAACTGGTAGATTCAAACCACCAACTTTTGGTTAGCAGCTTGAGCTCTTAACCACTGCACCACCAGCACTCCCATCACAGCCCAGTGGCACAAAATTTAGGTTATTCTGGTTTTTTTTTTCCCCCCAACAAATAAAAGGCTAAAAAAGAAAGACTGGCAACCTATAAATTTAAAAAGGCTTGTTTAGGCCACGATTAGAACAAGGCAAATGGAAAACAAAATTTATGAGGCAACCAGGAACATGTGAACACTAGATGTTTGATGATACATTAATTACTAACTACTGTTACTTCTGTTTAGATGTGATAAGGGTAATACGGATGCTTTTTCTTTTTGACTTTAATAAAATTAATAATCTTTACTCATTAATCACAGATTCTTACATGAAACTGGCAGGTTTCTTTTCTTTACTGCAAATGCATGGCAGTGAAGACTGAGAACAAGGATCATCAGTTCCTCTGCCTTGATTCCTGCTCAGGCCCCACTGTGGCTTTTGCAGCATCAGCGCAAGCATCAACATAGCAAAAAAATACCATTTTAGTACAATTATGAAACCAGTTTTGTACCCGCGGACCAATATGATTATATATTTTTAAGAGTCCTTGCCTTTTAGAGATACATATTGAAATATGAATGAACTAATATGGGTGTGACCAATGTGAAAATAGAGGAGGGGTGTGAAGGTGGGTGGGGGATCCTGGGAAAATACATTATCCAGGTTTTTCAATGTCTACAATAAAATGCTAAAAATTGGATTATTCAGAGAAATAGTTGGATTCTCTTCACAACATGAATGTTGCAAAATGATGAGAGAATTACTAAATAAGTCATGTACAAACTAACTGTTATAGATTGAATTGTGTCCCCCCCCAAAAATGTTGTAAATCCTAATCTCTATGCCTGTGGTAGGAGGCTGATGGTGCAGTGGTTAAAACACTCGGCTGCTACCTGAAAGGTTGGCGGTTTTAACCCAGAAGGATGTGGCAGCCTGCTTCCGTAAAAATTACAGCCTTGGAAACCCTATAGGGCAGTTCTACTCTGTCCTATAGGGTTGCTAAGAGTTGGAATGGACTGGACGGCAGCGGTTTTTTTTTTAATGCCTATGATTATAATGCCATTTGGGAATGGGCTGTTCTTTGTTATGTTAATGAGGCTGGAACAGTGTAGGGTGTGTCTTGAGTCTTTTTTCTAACATTTTGTGATTTTTGGAGAAAATTTACATAGCAAATTGGTTCTCATTTAAAAATTTCTATACATATTATTCAGTGACACTGGTTACACCTTCCACAATGTGTCAGCATTATCATTATTTCCATTCTGGTTGTTCTGTTTTGAGTCAATCTCTTTTGAGATATAAAGAGATTAAACTCAAGCTAGCAAGCACAGATGGGGGTAGACAGATGTCAAGCCACATGAAGATTGCCCAGGGGCAGAAATACAAGAGACAAGGACCTTCCTCCAGAGTTGACAGAGAGAGAAAGCCTTCCCCTAGAGCTGGCACCCTGAATTCGGACTTCTAGTCTCCTGTGAGGAAATAAATTTCTGTTTGTTAAAGCCACCCACTTGTGGCATTTCTGTTACAGCAGCACTAGATAACTAAGACACTAATGATACCATTCATTACAGTATGGTCCTAAAATGTCTGCTATAGTGCAGGGCTGGTTTATACCAGGGTTTCCCCACCTTGGCACTACTGACATTTGGAGCCAGATAATTCTTTGTTGTGAGGCTGTCCTGGGCACTGTAGGATGTTTAGCAGCATCCCACATCTCTATGCACTAGATGCTAGTGACACCCTTTGCCCAAATATGACAACCAAAAACATCTCCAGACATTGCCAAACGTCCCCTGGGGGGCAAAACAGCCCCCAGTTGAGAACTTCTGGTTTATAGCAACACTGGATGTTCTAAGCAGTGGTTTTCAACAGGAGCTGCACCACTCCCAGGGAATGTAGAGGAATTTCTTGGGGGGATTCTTTGTCACATGACTTGGGGAGTGTGGCTGACATTGTGGGGGGAGTCAAGCATGCTACCATGACGGTGACGTACACAGGCTGGGCCCCAGCAGACCATGTACATGGGTGGAACAACCTGTTTGTAATGTATGAACTGAAAACCTAACTTGACTGTACATATAAACACAAATTCCTGCATGCTTAAACGGAATTTTCCAGAAATGCAACAGCATTTTGTTCACAATGTTTCCCAGAGTTAGTCATCATCTTGGAAAATCACATCATTTACAGGAAGGCCCCTAGTAGTATTTCCATGGCTAACACCACATCCCACCTACCATACTTAAGTCCCAGGTCTCTGATGTAACTGGGCCCATGCAGTTACATGTTAAGATACCACACCAACTCAGAACACACTACTCTATTACAAATTACTTTCACTTTAATTATCCTTTACAAAATAGGGCCATAAGCTGATTTTTTTACATTATGCATATGGGTAGATTATATTACCTGTGAACTCCTTTAGGGACAATAAAGGGAACATAATATTTGTTGTTAAAAGGGGACATTGAGTTTGATAAGGGTCCATGAGTGACACAAACTGTTTGCACTCAGTTACTAACCTAAAGGTTGGTAGTTTGAACCTACCCAGTGGTGCTGGAGAAGAAAGTCCTGACGATCTGCTTCCGTAAAGATCACAGCCTTGAAAACCCTATGGATCATAGTTCTACTCTGTAACATATGGGGTTGCCATGAGTCAGAATTGACTTGATGGCAATGGGTTTAGTTTTTGGTTTGGGGTTTCACAGGTTTGGGAACCACCAGTCTTGGGTGTCTGTGAAGCACCATTTCCTCAGGAAACCAGAGGTCACCTTCACCATGTCTACCCTCAGCTCGTCTTCCCACAAATACATGATGGGGACTTACCACATTGTTATACTTGTGGTTCAAAACTCATCTGTAGGGTTTCCCTCCTAAGTGGATTCTTTGATGTCAAATAGGACAGAAGTGCCAACAGAAGGCTCTTCCACACCAATAACGTGCACAGGATTTTTCTCTTGCATGATTTCGTGGATGTCAAACAAGGCAAGAGCCCTGCTTGCAGGCTGTCTTGCCTTTGTTCCACCCCCTGTGTTCTCTACTGAATGCGTGTACTGATGTCGGATGCGGTGTGAGCTCCGGCTACAGGTTGGCTCACGTCGGTTACGTCCTCTGGGACCCTCTCTGGTGTGAGTTATCTGATGCCGGATGAGGTGTGAGCTCTGAATGAAACACTTCCCACACTGACTACATTTAAAAGGCCTGTCATCCCGGACATCCTGACTCAGAGGTGGGCTGCAGCCAAGGGCTTCCGACCATTCTTGCTTCACTAAAGCTGCCGTCTGCTCAAAGATTAGCCGCTGCCGGCATTCATAAGGCTTCTCCCCAACATGCTTCCTCTGATGCTGGGCCAGGGAGGAGCTGTGCCGGAAGCCTTTCCCACAGTGATTACACTCATAGGGCCTCTCCTCTGTGTGAGTTCTCAGATGCAGAAAGAGGCACGTGGTCCGCGAAAAGGATTTCCCACACACACTGCAAGTGTAGGGCTTCTCCCCAGTGTGTGTTCTCTTGTGCCGGCCAAGGGATGAATTCTGGTTGAAGGCTCTCCCACAGTACTGGCACTCATAGGGCTTCTCTCCAGTGTGAATTCTCCGATGCACGGTGAGGTGTGTACTGTGGCAGAAAGATTTCCCACACTCGGCACATTTATAGGGCTTGTCTCCTGTGTGGATTCGCTCATGTTGGACAAGGGATGAGTTCTGGCTGAAGGCTTTCCCACACTCCTTGCACATATAAGGTCTCTCTCCTGTATGGATCCTCTTATGTACCGTGAGGTGCGCGTTATGGTTAAAAGATTTACCACAGTCAGTACATTTGTAGGGTTTATCCTGTATCTGAATTTTTCCAAGTTGCATAACTTCAACACCCTGACTGAAAGACTTGCTGCAGTCACTGTTTCCAAAGGGCTGTTTTCCAGAAGAGCCTGTCTGTTGATTAATTAAGCTTGAGTTATGCTCCAAGCTTTTAACCTGTGAGTCATAATTAGAGAAATGCTTTCCCCGAGGAATCTCCTGTAATGGATTTAGGCCTGAACTCAGGATACAGTTTTGCCCAAGTCTGAGACTTTCACTGCCTCTATCTTGAGTTGGAGCTTCTTTAAGGCCAAATTCCAGTTGCTTCAGATCATCCTGGTCCTTCTTGAGCCCCTCTGACTGGCCCTCACAGGCCCACTTCTCCCCTAATGTGGCAGGCCAAAGAGCACCCCTTGGGAATCCTTCCCTTTCCATGACACAGGGTGGCTTCTCTTCAGGAAGACCCTGCCCCTTGGATGATGCTTGGCCTTCAGCTCTAGTCTCCCAGCCTGAAAGAAAACCACAGAGCTCTGAGAGGTTGAGGAGGGAAAAAAAAAAGGAGAGGTGACTAGGACCCCAACAACTCAGCCTACAGTACTGACCTAGGATCCTAGTTACTTGTCTTGCCTCCAAGCAAAGCACTCAAATCCACTCTTATGTGGACACCAAGTGCCCCTTCCTAAAACACAGCTTCAGTCATTCAACAAATAATTTACTGAGCACCGGCTGTGGGCCAGGATTTGGCCTAGATCAGGGGTTGGCAAACTATGCTCAGTTTTGTATGACCCTCAAGCTACGAATGTTTTTTATGACTTTAAAGAGATCAGAAAGGCCCCCATGTGGCATCAGAAGCATCTGGGTGGAAGGTCAAGCTGCAGATGCTGCTGGCTGAGTACCGTGGCCACATCCCCCTTCTTCCAGAATATGGTCAGGGTACCAATGCACCAGCCCCAGGCAAGGAATCACAGCTGGACCAAGCAAATTATGACAATCTAGTCCCCTTCCTAACCTCCCTTACAGCTGTGGTTGGGCTTGGGGTACATGTGATCCAGTTCTGACCAAGAAGATCTAGCTGGACAACATCTGGAGTTTTAACAAAATGGGACAAACGTGGCTGGCATTGCTCTTCTCGCTTTTCGCCCTCCTGCCTGGAGTACAGGAGTACAGATGTGATGGCTGGAGCTGCTGCAGCCATGCTGTGACCCCAAGGAAAGACCAGCAAAATCACAGAACCATCAGTCCTGGCATCACTGAGACACTGAGCAGTGCCAGCAGGGTTTCTTGCTTTGTGAGAAAGACCTCCCTCTCTTTTGAGCCACTCTAACCCCGTTTTCTGTTACTTGCAGCTGAACACATAATCCTTGTTGATAAGAGAAACGGTGTAGGGAACATGTTTACAGAAACTCGGCATGCAAGAAAAATGGAGACTATGAAGGACAAGTTCACACAAAAGAAATGACCCTGTGGAAAGGGCACACTAGAAGGCTGGTGACACAGGGAGCCTAGAAAGAAAGATGAAGCAGAGGGGAAGGGATGGGGGGAATCTGACCACAGGAGATGAGGTGGACGCCTTCTGAGCTCAAAGGAAAGAGAGACAGGTAAGGAGGCCGTGTTGTGTGGAGGAGCACTCCAGGCAGAGGTGTGAGGACAGGGCTCCACGATCACATGGTAGGCTGGACACTGCCATCCTCAGAAAGGCTGCTTGCAAGGCTGGCCCTTGGCTGGGATCTGGGAACTCAAGATTTCAGGAGGGCCACCACAATTCCCAGAACCGATGAGAGTGGCTCCCTGTGCTGACTGTTTGTGTAAACAATGTGCTTGATGCTGAACACCTGTTTTCCCTCGGGAACTCTGGGATTCTGGTACATGCCAGGCAGAGGGTGCCTACGTGACAGCCCCCAATAAAAATTCTGGGTCCTAAGTCTCCGATTAGTTTTGCTGGTGGACGACACTTCACATGTGTTGCTGGGGGAATGAAGCATCTCCCATGTCACTTCACTGGGAGAGGGCTCATGGAGGCTTGGCCTGCTTTCCCCAGACTTCACCCCATGCACTTTCCCCTTTGCAGACTCTGCTTTGTGTCCTTTTGCTGTAATAAATCTTATCTGTGATTATGACTACATGCTGAGCTCTGTGAGCCCTCCTGGTCAATCACTGGGCCTGGTGGTCTTGGGGACCACGATACACCACCCTTCCCAGGCAGCGCACCTCCAATCACCTTCTGGGTGGCTCCCTGCAGGGGTTCCCGCCTGACAGGTTCTCACCTGGACAGCAGCCTTGGGCAAGTCCTCTCTCCGCCACCCACAGCTCAGCCCCCTGCTCCAACTGGGAGATGACATCAGGTTTGGGAAGCTCAGGCCCTGGAAACAGGGAAAAGCACAGGACATGGGGGTCTGCTCTGAAGAGAAAGAGCCAGCGCAGACTCCTGACCATCAGGATAAGGGGAGGCCATGGAGTTAGCAATGCAACAAGGCAAAGGCTTTGCATCAGGACAGAAAAGGGTAGTGTTCTTCTGCACACATACCCCACAGGGAAGAAGAATGTGAGGTCCCTGATCCCCAGCGAAGGTCAGGTCCTAACCCCAGAGCTCCCACAACTTATAACCCAAGAGGAAATCAGTCACCACTGGCCATAGACGATCAGCTTGCAACATAGGCCTTACCCACGTCAACTAAGTGCCCGAAAGTCTCCAGCATCACGTCACGGTACAGGGTCCTCTGGGCAGGGTCCAGCTGCCCCCACTCCTCCCGGGTGAAGTCCACGGCCACATCCCGAAAGGTCACTGGCTCCTGAAATGCCACACACAGTCTCATCAGCTGGACCATCCCCATCAGTGTTCTTGGGAGGAGGAGGAATCGGGAAGGAGAAGACGAGCGAGCAGATATTTGTCCTGAGAGAGAGCAGGGTCTAGTGATGCGAGTCAGGCTGAACTGGGCACCTAGTAGGCCTCTGCATGTAAGAGTAGACTTTATGCAAGGACACAGGGGAAACCCAGGAAAGACTGGCAAGGCCAACTCATAGCTGACCCACAGGTGATCAGACAGATGGGGGTGCCCAGCTGAGACCAGCCTGGCTCACTGACCTGCAGATTTGTAAGCTAAAGAAACGGCAGTAAGTTTTGGGGTAGACTGTTATGCAGCAACAGCTAACTGATACACCCACTAACCCTCAGATACAAAACAAGGCTCACTGTCCTCCCTGAAAAGAGGGGTGTACAGCTGGGGTCAGAAACTCATGTGCCTTCAGGGGCTGGGCAGGCTCACAAACAACTGAAGAGGGACAGTGCAAGGGCCCACATGTGCACTTACTCTGAATGGTGGGGCTGGAGGGGGTGGGGAGCATATGTCTAAAAGATAGCTGGGACTCAGAACTGGAAAAACTGGCATGGCCTTATGGGAACACAGGGCCCATGTGGTAGGAACTGCCAATCTTTGGAAAGAAGCTGGTAAACAGGTCAGATTTTTATGTAAAAACTTTCAATTTGTGTAAGTTGATGCAATACATCTAAAATGTGTCTCACAAACAAAACTCATCTTTAGGCTGGATATGGCCATGATTGAAAGCCAGATCTTCCTGGATCAGAATTTCTTGGCTCTGCCACTTCCTCTCCAGGAGGTACTGAGCAGATATCCACCTCTGCTTCCCCGTTTCCTTCTTTGTCTATAAAGAATCATTGTCTTGGGGGCTGTGATGGGAATTAAGTGCACAGAAGATGCCCACAGAACAACTGGATAGCCACATGCAAAAGAATAAAGTTGGACCCCTACCCTGCACATATACAAAAGTTAACTCAAATGGATAAAAAATCTAAAGGTAACAGCTAAAACTACAATACTCATAGAAAAAAATTCTTAGAAGCTTTCATGACCTTGGATTAGGCAATAGTTCCTTAAATATGACAGATAAAACACAAGCAACAATAACAAAAAGTAGATAAATTGGACTTGATCAAAATTAAAAAATTTTGTGCTTCAAAGGGTACTATGAAGAAATTTAAGACAACCCACAGAATGGGAAAAATATTTGCAAATCATTTATAAAGGACTTGTACCTAGAACATATAAAGAATTCTCACAATTGAATAATAAAAAGATAAACAATCTAATTAAAAAATGGGCAAAGGACCTGAATAGACATTTCACCAAAGAAGATCTACAAATGCCCAGTAAGCACATGTAAAGATGCTCAACATCACTAGCCATCAGGGAAAACAAAACCACGAGATATCACTTCACATCCACTACGAAGGCTAAAATCAAAGACATATAATTACAAGTGTTGCCAAGGATGTGGATAAATTGGAACCCTTGTACACTGCTGTGGGCATGTAAAATGGTGTGGCCATTTTGGAAAAAAATTTCAGTCCTCAAAAGGTTAAACATAGTTACCATCTGACCCAGCATATATACCTAAAAGAAATGAGAACATAAGTCTACACAAAAACTTGTATATGGGGAAAACAAAACAAAACTTGTACATACATGTTCATAGCAGCACTATTCATAAGAGCCAAAAGGTGGAAATAACCCAAATGTCCATCAATTAATGAATGGATAAACAAAATGTGGTATATCCATTCAATGGGATATTATTTGGCAATAAAATGAAGTACAAATAATACATACTATAACATGGATGAATCTTGAAATCATTACGCTCAGTGAAATAAGCCTGATATAAAAGACCACATATAATATGATCCCATTTTTCTGAAATGTTCAGAACAGGTAAATCCATAGGTGCAGAAGTAGATTAGTGGCTGCTTGGGCTGGGGGTGGGGGTGATAGTTAATAGGTACAGGGTTTCTTTTTGAGGTGATGAAAATGTTCTAAAATTGATTGTGATGACAGTTGCAGAACTCCATGAATATACTAAAAACCAACCAATTGCACACTTTAAATGGGTGAATTGTATGGTATGTGAATTATATCTCAATAAAGCTGTTACAAAAGAACAAAACTTCCCACAGGCTGTGGTTTGTGTGCAGATTTTGATCAATGCTGCTGCCCTACCTGTTTTAGGTAACAAGGCTAAGGAACCTGGAATAGTGTTCCGCTTATGGCTGGGGGCAGCCAAAGATCCAGCCCTGCCCCACTCAGCACAGAGTAAGAACGTGGTGGCGTCAGCGATCACTGGTGGGGTCAACAGACCTCAACTGTGTGGCAATCCACATAACTAGCTGAGCTCTCATCAGAACCTGAGTCTCCCAGTAGTGGGTCTTCCTGTCTGCACCCTCAGAACTTCATACTGCAGAGTTCTAGGGAAAGTTGTCAAAAGAACATTCTCCAGTATCTACCTTTTAGCAGTATTGGTGACTGGGACTCTTACACTGACAGTCAAAGTATAAGCTAAGCAGGTACATCCTCTCTGGACAACTGTTTGGATCTCCCCAGTTTGTATCTACATGAACCCTGTCACTTGACAGTTTCACTTGTGGCAATATGTCTAATAGAAATGGGTACGTATTTTCAGCAAAAGACATGCTCAAGTATCTTCACAATAGAGCTATTTACAACTAAACAACTGGAAAGAAACCAAATGAACTTCTACCATAGAAGAGATCCACACAACATGGTATATTCATCAAGTGGAATAATACACAGCAAGGGGAATAAACAATTTACAAATACTTGCAACAATCCTGGGTGAATCTCACCAACCAAAGATGAGTATAAGAAGTCAGACACAAGTACGACCCGTAAGAGTCCATTTGCAAAGTCTAAAACAAGGCAAAACAGTCTATGGTTTTTGATGTCCAAATGCAGTTCACTCTGGGAAGGAGGGAGATGGTGCCTGGGAGGGAGGAGCCCATGGACTCTGGGGAGCCAGCCACGTTCTACTTTTTGACATAGTGGTGATCACACAGATGTGTGCACTTTGTGGTACCTCATCAAACTATACACTTAGGATTTGTGCCCTTTTCTGTAAGCTGTATTTCAATTTTTACAACTTTATTTTTTTTTTTAGAAAAATGTGAGTAGACAAAAAAAAAAAATTAAAGAAATTATAGTATGGTTGGAACGTGGCTCTGGCAAAAATTGTGCAGGAAACATGCAGAAGCCTTAGGTCTGGGCACAGAGGTCTCTGCTCCTGCTTGAGCATCCTCACCTCCCACTCAGACCTTCCACTGATCCCAATCCACACTCCCTGCACCTCCTCCCCTCACTGGCCACCTTCGCCCACTCTGTGGGGCTCACTCGTGATGGCCCAGGAACTGGATCCACTGAGCACTGGTCCATGCAGCCCCGAGACCTTTCAGTGGCATCACACAGGTCCCTTCTGCCTCCTTTTGGCCTCCTTCCTGGAATTCTAGCAGGAGCCCACTCCTTGTCTGTGACCTCTCCTTGCTGCTCCACCTCACACCCTTGCAGCCCTTGTCTTTCCTGAACTGCTGGGCCTGGTAGAAAGGGGCTGCGCTCAGACCTCTCTCCTCTGCACACTTGCTCACTGCAGACTGCGCCACCCCAGGCATCAGTCAGTACCTAGGCACTGGGCCCCACCTCCTCCTCTCTTTTCTCCTAGTGCCTTGGCTCAGCCCTCAGTACCTCCCCTGCTCTACCTTCCCAGCCTCAACTGCCTAAGTGATTCTTCTCAAATCCACACCACTCCTGCTTAAAACACTTGAGTGGCTACAGGATTAACACCCTTTAGTCCGGCAATCAAATCCCCCTACTTCCAGTCTTTGCCTCTTGTGGTGGCCAGCCTCCAGACAGGCCCCAATAATCCTCAGCCCTCAATGATCCCTGCCTCGTGGTATTCATGCCCTTGTGGAGTCCCCTCCCACACTGAGCAAGGCTGACCTGTGTAACCAACAGGATATTTTGGGAATAACACAGTGTGACGTCAGAGACCAGGTCACAAAAGACACTGCAGCTTGCACCTTGACCTCCCTTGACTCACTTGCTCTGAGGGAAGCCAGCTGCCATGCTGTGAGAACACTCAAGCAGCTCCACTAGCGGTCCATGTGGGGAGGAACTAAGACCTCCTGCCAATAGCCATGTCAGTAAGACATCTTGGAGGTAGATCCTAGTCAAGTCTCAGGTGATGGCAGTCCTAGCTGACATCTTGATCAAAACCTCTTTAGCCACAGCCAGAACTAACAGCCAAGTCATTCCGAGATTCCTAACAATCAGAAACTGTGAGACAATAAACCAAAACCCACTGGAGTCAAGTCAATTTTGACTCACTGTGACTCTACAGGACAGAGCAGAACTGCCCCACAGGGTTTCCAAGGCTGTAATCTCTACAGAAGCAGACTGCCACATCTTTCTCCTGTGAAGTGGCTGGTGGGTTCAAATTGCCCACCTTTCAGTTAGTAGCCGAACACTTAACCACTGTGCCACGAGAGCTCTTGAGACAATATTTACAGTAAAACCCGCAAAAGCTGGGACCTGTGTGAGGCAAAAACCTGCCAGAGAAGGAAATTCAAATATTTTCCATTAAAATGAACGATAGAAAAGTGGTAAGGCTGCACCCTGTCAAAGGAGGAAAACTTGCCATACCCAGAAAAACAAGGCAGCCCCATCAAGTTCCAGCTCTCCCAAATTTCTGTTTTTTGTTTTAGCCTGCTAAATTTTGAGAGACTGGCTACACACAGCAACATATAACTAATAAGCCTCCTCTGAAGCATCTCTTTTGCTTACTCCCTGATCTCCCATCCACAGCAAGCGCAAACTCAAGCATGGTCGCATTTCGTGCAAATTTTAAAGAACACACACCAGAAGACATGCAATCTAAGATTATCAATAATCTCACTTTGTGCACCAAATCTGAAATAATGCAAATCCACCTAAACCAACAAACCAAAAACAAGGCAATACATCACTTCAAAGCTGAGGAGCTTTAGGAAGCATGAACAGCCGTCCCACAGCCACCTGCCCCACTTACAGGGTGCGTGGTGACCTGTCCTTCGCCCCTGGGGGTTGGGCCCCACCCTTAAGGCAGGGGCTTCGCGGTGCAGGGCTCCCTGTGGGTGTTTGCTGCAACGCTGCACTAAGGCATCTCTCTCTATTCGATGATGCAACCGTATCTGCCATCTCGGCGCTCGGCCAACTCTACGATTACTATCGCCCTTTTACCCTGCCGATGATCCCTCCCGGGAGTGGGTGCAAGCGTGGCTGGGCGCGGAAGTTGCGGGGGGGGGGGGGCTCCCGACCTCCCAAGGAGGCCTCGAAAATGATCTTCCCACTCATCAGAGGGCAGGGGATACCAGATAATGCACATTCGGGGACCAGCGATCCGGGTTCGAACCCTGGCTCCGCCCCTTAACAGCCAGGCCAGTCGCCGGGTCCCTGGCGGCTCCTCAGTTTCCCCTTCTGTAAGGGAAGACAACGGCCGAGCCCTCCTCACGGCGCATTGTGTGGGTTAAAGGGCTAGAATCCGCTGGGTGCCCTTGGAGCAGGACTCGATACCGTCGTTATTATTTGTTATTATTATTGTTACCTGAAGCCGGGCCGCTGGCGGTCCCACGGCCATCGTCACAGCTGCTGCCTCCTCCTCGGGGTCCATCCTGGACAGAAGAGCCTGGGACAGGCGCCCGAAGCGACCCCAAACCCGAGAGCCGCCTCCGCCACCAGGCCCACCCAACTCGCCTACTGCCCGACAATGGCGGCCGTGCAGCAGACGCGGTGACTACAACTCCCAGAAGGCAGTGCGGCGCTCCGCGGCGTCCGACCAATGGGAGACCCCGCCTGCGGGGTCTCTAACCAATGGGGACGTTGTGGCTGCCGATGTGTCGGCGCGACGCGGGGCGCGGGGTGGGGGGCAGGGGCGACTGCGAGTTGTGATGCTCGCCCGGTGAGGGCCACCTGAGGCCTCAGTCCCATGCTGGCAGGCACCAAGGGGTCCTCGGAACGTGGGGGAACGGGCCTCCCATTCTAACGGCTGAGGGTAGGGGAACCTGTACGTGTCTGCGCAGTTGGTGGGAGCACAGACGGGCCGCCTTGATGGTGGGTTGGCCGGCAGCATCCGCGGCCCCAAAGCAAAACGCCAGAAACGTTGCTTTTGGAATGGGACCGCCTAGTATGAAATCCCGGGGCCTGCGCTTCTTAGCTATGTGCACAGGATACCTGCGGCTTTTTACGTTTTACTCAATATAAATGTGTAAAAAAAATTTTCCATGCATCAAAATTACATGAAAATTTAGAAGTTTTGTTAATAGACTTTCGGGGGGCGGTGGCCAGAAGGGGACATTCGGGGCTTCTGAGAGCTGGTCCTGTTTCTTAATCTGGGGTGTGGTAGGGAGGGACAGACAAAAAATAACGAACACGATCGTTTACACAGCTTGTTAAAGGGGCAAACAACGAAGGCCACTGGGTTTGGAGAAGCCAGGTTCCACCGCGCTCGCGATGTCCACACTTTCTCCCTTCCCTGTCCTTCTTTCTCTGCCTCGCTCTCCCTCCTCTCCTGCCCTGCATCTGCTAGGCATCTCACCCGCAGCCCCACCCAGGGCCCAGCCTACCTGGCTCAGCAAGTACCAGGAGGAGGAGCAGGTGTCAAGCGTTTTCACTTACCTGAGCAGGTGGCAGCTGCTGATGTGGGAACTATGGATCAGATATCTACCTTCTACCTGAGACCATCAAAGTCCCCAAATCAAAGGAGCTCTGGTAGCGCACTGGTTAAGCGCTTGGCTGCAAACTGAAAGGTTAGCTGTTAGAACCCATCAGCTGCTCCTTAAGAGAAAGACCTGGTGTTCTGCTTCAGTGAAGATTACAGCCTAGGAAACCCTATGGGGGCAGTTCTACTCTGTCATATGGGGTCACTATGAGTCTGACTTGATGGTAACGGGTTTGGTTTTGCTCCCACCTCCATGAGCAGAGACGGTCCCAGGAGGATCTATTTACTTCCCCTCAGGAGCAGCCCCGTGTGCTCACTTTGGACTCAACTTTCCTCCTACTTCTAATGGTGCTGAATCTGTGATCCATGATGTCTCCTTATTTTAATTCCTTCCTTTCCAGTACTTGTTGATTTGTTTTTTTTTATGATTATAAGGGTTTGTCTATTGCCCCAGTTCTCAAAGTGTGGTCCAGGAATCTCTAGGGGTCCTCCAGACTCTTTAAAGGGGTCAGTGAGTCCAAAAACTAAGTATATAACAATAATGACATTTTTAAATTATTTGTGATGTTGTTGAGACTATACACAGCAAAACATACACCAATTCAACAGTTTCTGTATGTACAATTCAGTGACATTGACTACATTGAGTTGTGCAATCATTCTCACCCTCCTTTTCTGAGTTGTTCCTTTCCCATTAAAATAAACTCACTGCCCTCTAAGGCTCTGTGATGGTTAAGATTGTGTGTCAACTTGGCTGGGCCATGATTCTCCATGTTTTAATGTAATCACTCCCATGATTAAATATACTGTGAGTAGCCAATCAGATGAAAGGGAGTCTCCTTGGGGGTGTGGCCCGTATCTGTATATAAGCAGACGTTCTGGCTTTTTGATCTTTCTGGATCCTGCAGCTCCTTCCTGTAATCTCATCTCTCGTTCTTGGGATTTGAGCTGTCAGCTTATCTGCCGAACCTGGGATTCGTCGATCTGCACAGCCTGTGAGTGGGAGCCCTGCTCTCTGACCTTCAAATCTTGGGCTTGCCAGCTTCTGCAGCTGCGTGACTTGGGAGAGGCCTCTACCCTGATCCACGGACTTGGGATGTTCTAGCCTCTACAATCGCATGAGCTGTTTCCTTGATATAATCTCTCTCTATATATATATTTATACACTTTACTGGTTTTGCTTCTCTAGAGAACCCAGCCTAAGACACTATGAATGACTGGAGTACCAGAAAGGTGTGTGTGTGTGTGGGGGGGGGGTGATCGTGGATAACAGAAAATACAGTGAGAATTGTTGAAGATTTGTTGGCAGGAAACTTCCCTGATATCATGAAAGATGAGAAGGTATCTATCCAAGATGCTCATCGAACCCCACACAAGGTTGATCCCAAAAGAAAGTCACCAAGACATATCATAATCAAACTTGCCAAAACGAAAAATATACAGAGAATTTTAAGGGCGGCTAGGGATAAGCAAAAAGTCATCTACAAAGGAGAGTCAATAAGAATAAGCTCGGACTACTCAGCAGAAACCATGTGGGCAAGAAGGCAATGGCATGACATATATAAAGCCTTGAAGGGAAAAAATTGCCAACTAAGAATTATATATCCAGCAAAGCTGTCTCTCAAATATGATGGCAAAACAGGACATTTCCAGATAAACAGAAGTTTAGGGAATCTGCAAAAACAAAATCAAAATGACAAGAAATACTAAAGGGAATCCTCAGGTTAGAAAATCAATAACATCAGATAACAACCCAAGACTAGAACACGGGACTGAGCATCCAGATGTCAACTCAGATAGGGAAGACACAAAAACAAATCAAAGCTAAAACGCTAAAAATAGGGAAACAGAGATGTCAGTATATAAAAGATGACAACATTAAAACAAAAAAGAGGGGCTAAAAATGTAGTCATAGATCTTTCATATGGAGAGGAAGACAAGGCAATATAAAGAAATAAAAGGTTGGTTTAAACTTAGAAAAATAGGGGTAAATATTAAGGTAACCACAAAGGAAACTAAATCCTACACATCATAATAGAAAACAAGAAAAACATAGACTTATCAAATACAAAATCAACAATGAAAAAGATGAAAAGAAAATACATAAAAATGACTCAGCACAGAAAATTAAGTGGAACAAAGAAACTGTCAAGAACACAAAAAAAGATATCAAAATGACAGCACTAAACTATCAATAATTATGCTGAATGTAAATGGACTAAATGCACCAATAAAGACAGAGTGGCAGAATGGATACAAAATCATGATCCGTCTATATGCTGCCTAGAAGAGACACACCTTAGGCTTAAAGACACCAACTAAAACTCAAAGGATGGGAAAAAATGTATCAAACAAACAACGCTCAACAAAGAGCGGGAGTGGCAACATTAATCTTTGACAAAATAGACTTTAAAATCCACCACAAACGATAAGGAAAGGCACTATAATAATTAAAGGGTCAATACACCAGGAGGACATAACCATAGTAAATATATATGCACTCAAAGACAAGGCTCCAAAATGCATAAAACAAACTCTAACAGCATTGAAAAGAGAGATAGACAGCTCCACAATAATAGTAGGAGACTTCAACACACCACTTTTGGTGAAGGACAGAACATCCAGAAATAGCTCAGTAAAGACACGGAAGATCTAAATGCCACAATCAAACAAGTTGATCTCTTAGACATATACAGAACACTCCACCCAACAGCAGCCAAGTATACTTTCTTTTCCAACACACATGGAACATTCTCCAGAATAGACCACATATTAGGCCATAAAGCAAGCCTTAACAGAATCCAAAGCACTGAAATATTATAAAGCATCTTTTCTGACCATAAAGCCATAAAAGTAGAAATCAATAACAGAAAAAGCAAGGGAAACAAATCAAACACATAGAAACTGAACAATACCTTGCTCAAAAACTACTGGGTTGTAGAAGAAATTAAGGACAGAATAAAGAAATTTCTATCAAATGAGAATGAGAACATATCCTACCAGAACTTTTGGGAGACAGCAAAAGCAGTGCTTAGAGGTCAATTTAAAGCAATAAATGCACACATCCAAAAAGAAGAGAAGGCCAAAATCAAAACATTAACCCTACAACTCAAACAAACAGAAAGAGAGCAGCAAAAGAAGCCATCAGGCACAAGAAGAAAGGAAATAATAAGAATTGGAGCAGTATTAAATGAAAAAGAAAATAGAAAAACAGTTGAAAGAGTTAACAAGACCAAAAGCTGGTTCTTTGAAAAGATTAACAAAATCGATAAACCACTGGCCAAACTGACAAAAGAAAAACAGAAGAAGATATAACACGAATGAAAAATGAGATGGGCGATATCACAACAGACCTAACTGAAATTAAAATTATCATAACAGAATACTATGGAAAACTGTATTCTACCAAATTTGAAAACCTAGAGAAAATGTACAAATTTCTACAAATACACTACCTTCCTAAATTAACACAGAGGTAGAACAACTAAATAAACCTATAACAAAAGAAGAGACTGAAAATTTAAAAAACTCCCAATAAAAAAAAGCCCTGGCCTGGATAGCTTTGCTGGAGAATTCTACCAAACTTTCAGAAAAGAGTTTACACCACTACTACTAAAGGTATTTCAAAGCATAGAAAAGGACTGAATGCTCCCAAACTCATTCTATGAAGCCAGCATAACCCTGATACCAAAACCAGGTAATGAAAGCACTAAAAAAGAAAATTAGAGACCAATATCCCTTATGAACATAGACGCAAAAATCCTCAACAAAATTCTAGCCAATAGAATTCAACAACATATAAAAAAAAATATTCATCATAACCAAGTGTGATTCATACCAGGTATGCAGGGATGGTTCAATATTAGAAAAACAACCAATGTAATCCATCATATAAATAAAACAAAGACAACCACGTGATCTTATCAATTGATGCAGAAAAGACATTTGACAAAGTCCCACACCCATTCATGATAAAAAGTCTCAGCAAAATAGGAATAGAAGGGAAATTCTTCAACATAATAAAGGGCATTTATACCAAGCCAAC